TTTTGAGACGGAGTTTCACTCATGTTACCCAGGCTGGAGTGCAATGGTGCATCTTGGGTCACTGCAACCTCCGCCTCCTGGGTTCAGGCAATTCTCCTGCCTCAGCCTCCTGAGTAGCTGGGATTACAGGCACGCACCACCATGCCCAGCTAATTTTTTGTTTTTTAGTAGAGACGGAGTTTCACCATGTTGACCAGGATGGTCTTGATCTCTTGACCTCGTGATCCACCCGCCTCGGCCTCCCAAAGTGCTGGGATTACAGGCTTGAGCCACCGCGCCCGGCCATTATTTTTTATCTTTAAAGGAAAAGAGAATAGAATAAATCCCATTTATTGAGAACTTTTTAGGTCCTTTGCAAGTAGTGTTCCTATGAAGCTACTTCAATTAATTTAGAAATCCTGATAATTACCTGAATGTGTCTGGAAATCAATAAAATTATCTCCTGTTCCATGGTACATAGGAAGTTTTGGCCATAGCAGTGGTGGGCAAACTATATATACTACAAATTTGGCCCACAAACCATAGCTTGTTTTGGACCAGCCTGCAAGCGAATTACATTTTAAAATAATTATTACATTAAAAAAAGAAGAATGTGGAATGGAGACCATATGTGGTATGCAAAGCCTAAAATATTCGTCCTTTACAGAAAATGTTGCCGAACCCTGGTCTTTTGTTATAGAAATCTTTTTTTTTTTTTTTTTTTTTTTGAGACGGAGTTTCACTCATGTTACCCAGGCTGGAGTGCAATGGCGCGATCTCGGCTCACCGCAACCTCCGCCTCCTGGGTTCAGGCAATTCTGCCTCAGCCTCCTGAGTAGCTGGGATTACAGGCACGCACCACCATGCCCAGCTAATTTTTTGTATTTTTGGTAGAGACGGGGTTTCACCATGTTGACCAGGATGGTCTCGATCTCTTGACCTCGTGATCCACCCGCCTTGGCCTCCCAAAGTGCTGGGATTACAGGCTTGAGCCACCGCGCCCGGCTGTTATAGAAATCTTGAAGAACATATAGATATTCTGCTTTAGTTGTACTCACATCTTTACTGCCACCTTCCCACCTCACAGGCTTCCAGCCCAAGTCTGTTTATTTGATGAATGAAGTGAACATATATCATCGAAATCCTTCTTCCACTTTTTTTTTTCTGAGACGGAGTTTCACTCTTGTTGCCCAGACTGGAGTGCAATGGCACAATCTTGGCTCACTGCAACCTCTGCCTCCCAGAGTGATTCTCCTGGTTCAGCCTCCCAAGTAGCTGGGATTACATGCATGCACCATCACACCCAGCTAATTTTGTATTTTTAGTAGAGATGGGGTTTCTCTATGTTGGTCATGGAGAAACATGAGGTCAAACTCCCGACCTCAGGTGATCCACCTTCCTCAGCCTCCCAAAGTGCGGGGATTACAGACATGAACCATCACACCCAGACCACTTTTTTTTTTTTTTTTTTTTTAAGAGACAAGGTCTCGCTGTTTTGTCTAGGCTGGTCTCAAACTCCTGGCCCCAAGCAATCTTCCTGCTTCAGCCTCCCAAGGTGCTGGAATTAGAGGCATTGAGCCACTATACCCAGCCACCTCTTCCATCTTCAAAATATTTTCATTTATCTTACAAATAACACGTGCATTTATCATTTCAGGATTTGGTGATGTTCAGAGATGTGGCTGTAGACTTTTCTCAGGAAGAGTGGGAATGCCTGAATTCATATCAGAGGAATTTATACAGAGATGTGATATTAGAGAACTACAGCAACTTGGTGTCACTAGGTAAGCCTGTCTATGTCAGATAACTTAGACATTCACAGGACTGAATTTTTGGGCTGTCTTTCTGAAAACTAGCTAAATATCTGCTTTGTGGTTTGACAGTAGGTACCACTATTAAGCACCTTCATCTTTCCCCATAGTTTGGTGACCTTTACATTTTTCTTTGACTTTTCTGTTATTACTGCTCTTTAATGACAGCTGGGTATAAATTCTTAGACACTCATGGCAAAACCATTGTCAAAGAAATCTGATTTCATACCGCTATAGATCGTCTATGTTATTCATGAACTCATTTACAGTGAGAATGGGAAGACAGAGGTGTCTGGCTCTACATAGCTGTTAAAAGAGCTTTTACAATGTATGTGATATTGGGTTGAATGGACAGTTTGTTAAAACTTAAGTGGACAGTATTCAATTTCCTACAACATGCTTATTTACTTATTTATTTATTTACTGAGATGGAGTCTTGCTTTGTTGCCAAGCTGGAGTACAGTGGCGTGATCTCAGCTCACTGCAACCTCTGCCTCCCAGGTTCAAGTGATTCTCCTGCCTCAGCCTCCCAAGGAACTGGGACTATAGGTGTGTGCCACCGCACCCAGCTAATTTTTCTATTTTAGTAGAGACGGGATTTCACCATGTTGGACAGGATGGTCTCAATCTTTTGACCTTGTGATCTGCCCATCTTGGCCTCTCAAAGTGCTGGGATTACAGGCATGAGCCACCACACCCGGCCAACAGACATATTTTAACTGCTTGTGATTAAGTTTAAAATACACGAATTTGCATGTAACGGCATGCATATTTTGACAAGAAACTTATTTTCCAGTTAGTAAAATAATATTTAAAAAATAGCGAATGTAGTACCTCATGAACATATATAATGGTTAACACGTACCAGGCACTCATCTAAACACTTACTTTAAATCAAATCTCACAACAATGCTACGTGTGCACATTACTGTTATCCGCTTTTTGCATCTGAGAAAACTGAGGCACAGAGGGGTTGAATTATTTGCTCTACTGACATAGGAAAGAGAGGCAGGATTTGAAACAAGTGCTTTCAACTATTCTTTTCTCTCAAGAGACAGAGCCTGTGTAAGTTTAAGTTAAAATAAGACCGGGTCCCTACTTGTCTGTTCTTGTTTTTCCTTGTGATCCTAAAGTAACTCTATACTATGAATGTTTTTCAATTCTGATAGTCACCTTTGGTTTGAAGTCTTAAATAAGTTCTTTATTATGTTCTATTATTTGCTTTTAAGCGGGATGTTCCATTTCTAAACCAGATGTGATCACCCTGTTGGAACAAGGGAAAGAGCCTTGGTTGGTTGTGAGGGATGAGAAGAGAAGATGGAGCCTAGGTAAGTGTTGATCAGTCAGAGGTCTGTAAGGGGTGTGTCTCCTCCCCAAACAGCAGGTCTGGCCAGCCATTGTGGCATGGCCAGACCTGCTGTTTGGGGAGGAGACACACCCCTTAGATGTTGATTGTGAAGAAGAGACCTGAAACTTGGGAAGAAAATTTAGATCTTCTCAGCATTCCCCACCAAAGAAATTTCATCCATACTTCCATTTATCACTTGTTTCCCTCCCTTTTCTTTCCTCTGTTTCAGTAGGGGAAAATTTCTTCCCTAGTGATTCCGTTTTACCTGTATTTTGGATCTAATCCCTTTCTAGCTCATCTTTTGTATTTTGACTTTTATGTATATATTTTTTTCATTGCCCTCTGTTCATGGAGTTTAAATTGTAGTGAGGAATCTGCAGTAAACAAGTAAATAAATCAGTAAATGGATTACTAAAATATCCTCAAGTAATTGGGTATTATGAAGAAAAGTGAGTAAGGTAAGGATGTGGAGAATTATAATGAGTGAATGGAGTAATTTTAGATGGGGTTGTGGGAATTCACTGAGGGTGGTGGCAAAATATATTAAGGGAAAAATATTAGAGAAAGGTATAGAATATAGTCTCAAACCCTTTTAGAAGGCCTAAGTGTTTTTTCTGTAGTTCTTGGCTGAAGGCAGCCTGAATCCCCTTTACATTTAGTTTATAAGTAAAGCCAATAGGGTATGTAGGGGAGTTTACCTAACTAACTTGTTTACTTCTGCGGTCTTAAAACTAACCTTTGAGCTGGATGGCCCTCTCTGGGGAAGGTCAACCAGAGATATTACCCTCTAAAGGTGTTTGCTTTGGATATGGGAACCTGTCCTTAAATCTCATCACTCTACTGGTGTTGACTCAAGCCTTTGTCAATTAAACTTTACTCAAGAAATCCAAGTCTCTCTGGCTGGTAGGGGCCAGCTGTTGCAACTGTTTACAGCACTCGCCAGGGAGCCTGTAAGCAGCCACGGACCCTCAGCTGAACTGGCAAAGCATAATATCTGTGTGTCAGTGTACTTTATTTATCCATCGTCAGGGTCTGCAGGGCAGATCCCTGCAGGTGGTGACCCCAACGTGGGTTGGTCAGGGAAGAGGAGCCAATTTGAAGAGGCTCCAATTGGCCAGAGATGGGACTGTTTGAGCATCAATACATACAATGACTGCAGTGTGTTAACAATGCACAAAATACACTTAATTTTATGAATTATTAATACAGCAAATTATCATTGGAAGTTACTAGAAACTAACATTTAAAAAGCATAAATTTAAAGGAAAAGAAGCATTTATCCTGCCTTTCTTTCTTAGAAGAATTGTATGAATAGGTAGTAGATGGAGATATGTTTCTCTTTTTTTTTTTTTTTTGAGACAGAGTTTCACTCTTGTGGCCCAGGCTGGAGTGCAATGGCATGATCTCAGCTCACTCCAACCTCCGCGTTCCAGGTTCAAGCAATTCTCCTGTCTCAGCCTCCTGAGTAGCTGGGATTACAGGTGCCTACCACTGCACCCAGCTAATGTTTGTATTTTTTTAGTAGAGATAGGATTTCACCATGTCGGCCAGGCTGGTCCTGAACTCCTGACCTCAGGTGATCCACCTGCCTCGGCCTCCCAAAGTGCTAGGATTACATGTGTGAACCAACATGCCTGGCCATATGTTGCTCTTAATAAGAGTATTCAGTGAATAAATGAAGAGGAATGATAGAATATTACCATTTTGGAACCCCGTAAGAATTATGAGATTTAGATATTGAACATCAGTGCTGATAGCATCACAGAAATAGAGACAATCTGACATTGTTTCTGCTAATGAAGGAGCACAGTATCACCTATGAGGTAACTGTGCCATCAAAAGGTCCTAAGTCTTGTCAAACTTCTAAAACCTGTCCCCAACTTATAGGAAGAAGATAGAGGCCTATGTTTACACCTTGGAAATGTAGTGAGCAAAATTCAGAATATGGGAAACTACAGGACCAAAAACAGGTTCTTCAACCAATAAATTACAAGGGAAATAAAAAAATGATAGGAAAACCTATAGATTAAAAGAGATGTAAAAGACACGTCAATAGTTATGTTCTGTGAACTTTGTTTGGATGAGTTATTCTTTTTAGGTTGTTTAAAATTTTATCAGACAAATGGAAGTGTGTACACTGATTTTTTGATATTGAATAATTCAGTTTTTAGGTTTGGATAATGGTATTGTGGTTATGTGTAAAAGTGCCTTTTGAGATGAATATTATGTACACATGAAATGATGTAATACCAAGATTTGCTCCAAATAATATGAAGGAAGTAGATTGGGGGATACATGGGCCATGATTGGGCCTGGGGCTAATGGTCGGTGCTGGATACATGGAGATTTATTATGCTGTTCTATCTACTTTTTGATGTGTTAGAAATACTCTGTTATAAAGGTGTTTTGTTTGTTTGTTTTAGAGTTATTGAGAGATAAAAAGAAAATGGTGGTAAAAATAAATTTAAACTCTTCTTTCGATGAATTTTGCCGTAAAAGGGAAGCAGACACATAGAATACAGGGAATATATTTTATGATGTGAAGTATTATGGCATGTTTATAGGTTCACCAGAATGATCTCAAAGAGAGGAACATTGATGAAGTGGAGAGAGGATAGTTTTGTAAGCAGCGACCTTCAGTAGATGGGAAAGAGTGGAACCAGTTGAGGAAGGAAAACCACACATATGGTAGGAATTCAGATATATATTGATTGGAGAATGTGGTGGAGAGAAAAATACATATTTTTCTTTCAGTTGCGTCTGGTTCCTTGCTGAAACAGGAGTAGATTATCATCTGAATATGAGGGTTATTCAATTTTTTCTTGGAATTCAGTATGGATTATGTAATATTAGATGAGTGTTAATTTTCAGAAGTATAATTTTGTGGTTACAGGGTTTTAACATTTTCAGATCTCTGATTTTAATAGAATTGTCTTGGTCATAAATATTCTGTATTCTGTATAATTTTATATCAGCCAGAAGAAAAAAGGTGGGTGGGGGAGACATTATACCTCTGGAAACAGCATACCTCTGGGGAGAATTATGTGATAAGATAATTTCCTCCCTATTTTTATTTTATTTTATTTTGAGACGGGGTTTCTCCATGTTGCCCAGGCTGGTCTCGAATTCCTGGGCTTATGCAATCTGTCTGCCTTAGCCTGCCAAAGTGCTGGTATTACAGGTGTGAGCCACCATACCCTATCCCTATTTTCTTTTTAATTAAAGCTTATGCCCTGCAAATGGAAATAACACTTCTTTCATTTTGATCTAAGATTACTAATGTTTTGTTTTCACATTAGCAGTGTTTATTAGAATAAACTCTTTAATTCAGTGGAATCCAAACTAGTGTTTGGCTTATTAATTTTGAACACTTATATATTTTACATACATGTTTTAGGAGGTAGAACATTAAAATTGTGTATCATAGTGCAATCTTTTGATGTTTGGCTTAGCATTTTGTTTCAGTGTAAGTCTAGCCCATTCTGTCTTGATTAAAGTACATATGAAACATAGGCTATTCTTTCCAGTTTCAACTTCTTTGAGGTAGAACGGGAATATAAAGATAATTGTGAAGCAATCTGAGGGCAGAATCCTTGATGTTTTATGTTTTCTGTCTTTTATTATTTTCTCACACATGCCTACTTTGACAAAAATGCAATGTGAATGTATAGCCAATACTTCCAAAACATCCAACTTAGTTTTCATAGAAATGATTATCTTTTTTTTTTTTTTTTTTTGGAAGGGGGTTTCTTGCTCTTTTGCTAGGCTGGAGTGCAGTGGCGTGATCTTGGCTCACTGCAACCTCTGCCTCCTGTGTTCAAGCGATTCTCCTGCGTCAGCCTCCTGACTAGCTGGGATTACAGATGTCTGCCACCACACCTGGGTGATTTTTGTATTTTTAGTAGAGGTGGGGTTTCACCATGTTGGTCCGGGTCAGGCTGGTCTCAAACTCCTGACCTCAGGTGATCTGCCTGCCTCGGCCTCCCAAAGTGCTAGGATTATAGGCATGAGCCATCATGCCCAGCCATTTTTTTTTTTTTTTTTAATGAAAACCTTCAAATTTTACAGAATAAATTTTACAGCCTGTTCTAATTTCATTCTTAGTGAATACAGACATTTTGTCCAAATTTGTTTATACTTTTATTTATTTTGTGTGTTGTCTGCTCTCTTCCTTTATTCCGTTACCTTTTCCATTGTTTATTGTTTCTTATGCCAATTTGTATGGGTTTAAATATTTTTAAAATTTTTTAATTTTTAGAGATTGGGGTTTCATTATGTTGTCCAGGCTGGTCTTGATCTCCTGGCCTCAAATAATCCTTCCACCCCAAGTAACCCTCCTACCGCAGCCTCCCTGAGTAGTTGGGGATTACAGGTGCGAGCCATCGTGCTCAGCTTGTGTGGACTTTAATGCTGTGAACAGTAACACTTTCTCACTTTCTTATAACTGTTTTAGCCTTTCATTTGATTTTTGACTGGCTTTCCTTTTAGATTACTGGTTTTAATTTTGAATTTGCAGGTAAATCCTTTGAAATGACCATCTTTCTCTTAACCTTTGTTTTAACTTCATAACTATTATTTACTACCATTATTTAGCTAATTATGATGCTTTTATTAATGTCACTCATATCTTATTTGTCTTATTGGGGCCATAAATGGACTTTATCCCTAGAATTCTAGACAATTGCCATAGTTTTGTATTGCTTTTTTTGGGTGGGGAGACAGAGACAGAGAGAGGGAAACAGATTTTATTGCAGTATTTTCTGTTCCGTTCATTTACCTGTCCTTGGACACATTTTACCCACACCATTTATATTATTGTTGCTTTTTAGCATCTTTTTAGTGTATACTTTTTAAAAGTAAACTTGTTGAAATATAAATATACACAAAAATAAACAAATCATTAGTGAATTTTCACAAAGTGACCATACCCATCTAATTAGTACAGAAATAGAGCTTTACTAGGATACCAGAAGCCCCTCCTGACTTCTTCCAGTCATTCCTCCCCACCAAGGCTAACCACTATCCTGACACCATCATAGATTAATTATCATTTTTAAACTTTATAAAAATGGAATTGTACAGTATACATTGCTCTATGTCTAGTTTTGTTTATTCACCATTATGTTTGTGAGATTAGCCTTTGATGCACGTAGTTGCAGATTGTTCATTTTCGTTGCTATATAGTATTATGTTATGTTAACATGCCATCATTTATTAGCCATTCTTCCATTGATGAGCACTTGGATTCTTTCCAGTTTGGGCATATTACAAATAATGTTGCTTTAACCCTAACTGTAACCCTAATCCTAACATTTTCCTGTTAAAAAAGTATTGAATTCTTATTGTAAAAATTTTTAGCACATACACATTTGTAAAAAACATCTGTTTGCTCAGAATTTTAATAGCCTTTTACTTTAGTATAAACCTGTCATTACACCTGGAAAATCATTGAAATATTCTTTAGGAAGTACCCAAATGGCATTATAGGGACTTTAGGGAAGATACGGGGAACCTGTGACATAGATGTGCATAGTTATGTAAACCCAAGTGAATATAAATATTTAGAGCTTCTCATTACCTTGGTTGTGAAAGGGGGTCAGAGTTCACTTACGACTATACAAAGTAGGAATTGAACTGCAGTGGAGATATCTGCAAGTGTAAATGGAGACACAATTGGAAAGATGATCGAGTATAAAGAAATCACTATTTTCTATTTATATATTTTACTGAGATAACCTAGATGTGCTTGTTTCCCATCTCTATAGGAAGTGACAAAAAGAGAATATTTAATTAGCATAGTAAGGTTTAAGATTGGAGGTAGGACATCATATTCCATAATTGTTAACTAATTATGAAAATTTAATTCACAGTTAACATGAACTGTGGCTTTATTCACTGGTGAGTTAAAAATTGTTTCTCCCCTTGGGGAAGTTTAAGGTAAGAAAATAAAGATAATAGTAAATGGGGAAATTAATGAATAACAACATAATTGAGAAAAATGTTAAGAAAAAATAAGTAGCTGGGCATGGTGGCTCACAGCTATAATCCCAGCACCATGGGAGGCTGAGGCGGGTGGACAGGAATTTGAAATCAGCCAACACTCTGAAACTCTGTCTCTACTAAAAATACAGAAATTAGCCAGGCATGGCAGTGGGCACTTGTAATAACAGCTACCTGGAAGACTAAGACATGAGAATCACTTGAACCCCGGCAGAGATTGCAGTGAGCCAAGATTGCACTACTGCACTTTAGCCTGGGCAACAGACCAAGACTACATCTAAAAAAGCAAAATTAAAAAATAAATGACTAGGATAGAAAACAAATAATATATATTACATGAAGTCAGCAGGGATCATTTTTCTGATTTTTAAAATGAAACCTGGTGGGTGAAAGAAACCCAACAAAGCAAACCCAAGTCAAGATTCCTGGGAGATTTGATAGCCAGTGAAAAACTCTAAGAAATGGAAAGATTGGGCCAGGTGCAGTGGATCATGACTGTAATCCCAGCACTTTGAGAGGCTGAGGTGGGCAGATCATTTGAGGTCAGGAGTTTGAGACCAGCCTGACCAACATGGAGAAACCCCATCTCTACTAAAAATATGTTAGCTAACCGTGGTGGCGCACTCCTGTAATTCCAGCTACTTGGGAGGCTGAAGCAGGAGAATCACTTGAACCTGGAAGGCGGAGGTAACAGTGAGCCAAGATTGCATGATAGGGTCATGGACAGCAAAGGGGACAGTGGCTTGAGTTGATACCTTGTGGTAAACAGAGTCTATGTTACTCAAGATAAAGTATTTGCTCTTTGTTCTAATTGCAAAGAGAACTTAAAAAATTTAAGTAGGGAGTCTCAAACTTTGATCTGCACCCAAATAATCTGGTCTTAAGTCATCATTTTCCTTTTAGCTTCTTTTAAATTATCTATTTTAGATACATTGTGCTCATTTACTTCAATTGGGCTTTCTTTTTTTTTTTTTTTGTCATTGATTTCTATTATAAATTTTTTTATTTGCTTATTTGTCTAGAACAGGAAAATATGCTTTGGTCTTGTTTTCTTTCAGATTTGGAATCCAGATATGACACTAAAAAGTTATTTCAAGAAAAGGATATTTATGAAATGAATTTATCTCAGTGGAAGGTAATGGAAAGAATTACCTGTGGACTTGAAGGACAAGAAAGTCCTCATGAGGTATGTTTCAGGCAAGTGACAAAAGCCACCTCTGAAAAAATGCCCACTTACAGAAAACTCAGATCTCTTACTCTGTATCAGAAAAGTCATAATAGAGAGAAACCCTATGAATGTGGGGAATGTGGGAAGGCTTTTAGAGTACGACAACAACTTACTTTCCATCAAAGAATTCATACTGGTGAGAAACCCTATGAATGTAAAGAATGTGGAAAAGCCTTTAGGCAGTGTGCCCACCTTAGTCGACATCAGAGGATTCATACTTCTGACAAACTCTACGAATGTAAAAAATGTGGAAAGATCTTCACATGTGGCTCAGACCTTCGAGTACATCAGAGAATTCATATTGGCGAGAAGCCGTATGAATGTAAAGAATGTGGGAAAGCCTTTAGAGTTAGAGGACAACTTAATCTCCATCAAAGGATCCATACTGGTGAGAAACCCTATGAATGTAAGGAATGTGGGAAGGCCTTTAGACAGTATGCACACCTTACTCGACATCAGAGACTTAACATTGCTGAGAAGTGCTATGAGTGTAAGGAATGTGGTCAGGCTTTTCTGTGTAGTACAGGCCTTCGACTACATCACAAACTTCATACTGGTGAAAAACCCTATGAATGTAAGGAGTGTGGAAAGGCCTTTAGAGTGCGGCAACAACTTACTCTCCATCAGAGAATTCACACTGGTGAGAAGCCTTATGATTGTAAGGAATGTGGGAAGACTTTCAGTCGTGGCTATCATCTAACTCTCCATCAGAGAATACATACTGGTGAGAAACCTTATGAATGTAAGGAATGTCAGAAGTTCTTTCGTCGTTACTCAGAACTTATTTCACATCAAGGTATTCACATTGGAGAGAAACCTTATGAATGTAAGGAATGTGGGAAGGCATTTAGACTGTTCTCACAGCTTACTCAACATCAGAGTATTCATTTTGGTGAGAAGCCCTATAAGTGTAAAGAATGTGAGAAGACTTTTAGACTGCTTTCACAACTTACTCAACATCAAAGTATTCATACTGGCGAAAAACCCTATGACTGTAAGGAATGTGGAAAGTCCTTTAGACTTCATTCATCACTGATTCAACATCAGAGAATTCATTCAGGTGAGAAACCATACAAATGTAAGGAATGTAAAAAAGCATTTAGACAACATTCACATCTTACTTACCATCAGCGAATTCATAATGTAACTTAATAATTATTAGAACTCTTCCATTGTGAATTTTATGTTGAGCATAGGAAGTAAATTCTAGAGGAAAGGTTTTTGAATGTAGGACTCCCTTTTGCTTCATGCTCAAAACTGACTTAGGAAGTTTTATTTAAAGGAAAGAATGTGTTAATGAACATATAGAAGACTTTCATCGCCTTTGAAACTATGTTAAACTTTAGGACATTCATCCTAAAAACGAACTTTATTAAAGGAGTGAATGTGGAAAAGCTTTTGATCTTACCTATTATTATCTCCATATTCTTCCCTCTGTGTAGTATACACATGGAGGTTTCCAGGAAACCACCTCATTCTGAAAATGTGTAAATGAAGGGAAAGTCATTTAGCCTGCTTTTCCTGCATGAACTGTATTTCAAGGCAACAGAAGGTAATGAGGTAAAGTTCTTTATTAGAAAATTTCAGGCTAATGAATGCAAAAAGAATAATAGAAATAGAAAATTGTATTAGAAAAGCTATTGTGAAACATATAATGAAATACTAAATCAAGAGGTTGAGACCATTCAGTGAAAGGTTGTGAACTTTAGTGAATAGATCAGACTGACAACATCTGAACTCACTGATAATAACTTCACAAAAAAAGACAATAAAAATTATTTGCCTCCTAATGTGATACAGTAAGATATATACATCTTGCCAAAAATATTAAACCTGAATTTAATTAAGCCTCAAGATCTAACTCCCAGTTTAGAGAAAATTCAAGAAATGGAAGAGTAAATTACATGACACAAAAAGGAACAATTAAGTCTAAAATAAGAGTAATTCTACAAGAGGGATGACCTGGTTTCCTAACCAATAAAATGGCATTTTGAGAAATAAGGTGGAACTCTTAGGTATTGACAGACTTGAGACATCAATCAAATGCAATGAAAGAGTGGTTTTTACTTAGATCATGAGTTGAACAAACATGTAACATAAGACATATTTACAATAATTGGGAGAATGGGAATATTGACCATATTAGATAATAGGAAACTTTTTGTTATATGTGATAATAGCATTGTGATTATGTAAAAGTCTATTTGTTAGAGATAATTTCTGAAATTTATACACAGGAGATGATGTATCTGGAATGTCCTTTTCATGCAAAAGAAAAATGAGGGTGAATAACATGTTTGGCAAAATGATGGTAATCTAAGTCTTGGTTACATGGTTTTTGTTTTTGTTATTCTTTCTACTTTTGTGTATTTAAAATTTTCCTTGATGTGCTTTTAAAGATCAAGTTAGCCATGAAGTTATAACCAATTTAAGATGAATAATTTTTTAAAAAAATTCTACATATTAAATCTTGTGGATGTTGCCAAAGCTCTACACATTGGGATTGGTTTAATTACATGATAATGACTATAATTACATGACAATGACTATGATGTATTCAGGAAGTTAAAATTGTGTGCCCACATTTTATTTAGTTCACCTCTCTATCTCTGTATTATAGTACCCATGGTACTCACTTCATATATATATATATTTTGAGACATAGTCTTGCTCTGTCACCCAGGCTGGAGTGCAGTGGCATGATCTTGGCTCACTGCAAGCTCTACCTCCCAGGTTTAATCCATTCTCCTCCTTCACCCTCCCAAGTAGCTGGGATTACAGGCATGTGCCACCTTGCCTGGCTAATTTTTGTATTTTTAGTAGAGTGGGGTTTCACCATGTTGGCTAGGCTGGTCTCAAACTCCTGACCTCAGGTGATCTGCCTGCCTTGGCCTCCCAAAGTGCTGGGATTACAGGCGCAAGCCACCGTGCTCAGCCTGCACTTCATATGTTTAAAGAATGAGTAAAATAAAGCAATTACTACTGCTAAATGTGGAAATTAATGGACTAGACCTACACTGTCTAATATAATAGTTACTAGCAACATTTTGAGCACTTGAAATTAAGTTATTGAACACTGACATGTGGCTAGTCCAAATTAAAATGGTGTTAAATGTAAAACACAAGATTCTGACGACTGTTATTTAAAAAAAGTTAAATATCTCAATTTTTCATATTGAGTACATATTGAAATATTTTAGACATATTGGTTCAAATAAAATATGTTAAAATGAATAGCACTATTTTTTGTTTTTTAAAAATGTGTTACAGGAAACTTTAAAATTATGTAGCTCACATATTTCTATTGTCAGCACTGGAATAAACAATAAAAAGTAGATTTTAGCCAAAGGGTTTTTTTGTGTATGTTTCTTTAGAGGATACTAACATAGTCAAGACCTTGGCAGTTTTGATCACAGAATAGAAATATGAAAGATTACACAGCTACAGCTATATTAATGATAAAAGTGACAGCTATGAATTTTTAAAGTTATAAGTTGCTATACCGTATATATGTAATATGTGTGTGTGTGTGTATAGTGTGTAGGTATATATGTTTATACATACACTATACATTTATTTTAAAATAGTGAAAATCCAGAATTATTCTGTGGAAAAAAAATATACTGAAATTGACTTCACATGCTGAAGAAAGCCTGAGTAGACCAACAAGTAAAGAAAAAATTAAGACGGCTAGGACAAGTGTGGTGACTCATGCCTGTAATCCCCCCACTTTGGGTGGCTGAGGTGTGTGGATCACCTGAGGTCAGGAGTTCAAGACTAGCCTGACCAACATGGAGAAACCCCATCTCTACTAAAAAACAAAATTAGCCTGGTGTGGTGGCGCATGTCTATAATCCCAGGTACTCAGGAGGCTGAGGCAGGAGAATCACTTGAACCCAGGAGGTGGAGGTTGCAGTGGATATCGCACCATTGCATTCCAGCCTGGGCAACAAGAGCAGAACTCTGTGGTCCTCCCCACCAAAAAAATTAAGATGGTTAGAAGATATGCTTTCTAAAAGAATAATTTAGAATCTGACTTTTTTTTTTTAATCAGGCAGACTCCTGAGCGAGATTAGGCTCAGAGAGAATCTGATAATCCATTTTTTTACAAGTAAAATCTTTGAAGGATTGGTAATTGCTAAATGTTTCCATCATTATTGTTATACAAGACTAACCTAAAACTGATTATAAGAACTAGATGAGGAGGGCTGGCAAAACCAAAATCTAGAAATTTTTATATGAAGAGAAATCTAGTAATTCCAATTTCTGTGGCAAATTGTATCCAACAGTTTATTTAAGTATGGAAGAGAAAATCATTTATGTGGAATATCTTGGACCTGATCCATCTGACTTTAATTATATATTTAGACTCTAGGCATTCTACATTCAGTACATCATAATGATAGTAAAAGAGGTATGATTCAGGCCCAGTGTCATCTCAATTCTTGCTGATTTTCTTTTCTTTTTTTAGCTTTCTGTGTATTAAGAATGGAGTGAATTTTATGTATGTAAAAGTATAACCCAACACTTTAAAATTACCTTCTCAAAATTAATACAGAGTTCTTATAAATCATTATATCAGTTAGACTTCAGTGATTTCACTGTAGTCATCCATTATGAACTGTATATGCTGCTATAATTGGGAAGTCATGATGTTCAGTGTATCACATCATTATATTCCATTTCTAAAATGGACTATGCAACTTGATAGCATTTGAAACCATTTCCCAGGAAACACTAATGCTTGATGGTATTTTTAGAAAGCATTCTGTGGTTAAATGAGCATATTAAGTACTGCATATTAAAATGAATCAGTTTAAGAAAATAAAATGTAAGCTTCCTCAAATAATGAAGTAATGAGAGTTTAATTAATTTTATTTAACTTGATGTATCTGAAGCACCCTTTACCATGTAGCTTACTCTCAATGCCTGTGAGTATGTTTGGGATATGAACCCACTTTAGCAGATAACTGCTGTAACCAAAACAGCTGATGGCAAAGGTGAAAAATTCAGACCTTATGCCAGGTAGTTAGTTGTATTGGAAGATGGATGTGAGGTACGTTTCCCTGGATGTGGCATCATGTTCTAAAGTCATCTATTCTTTCTAAATTTAGAACTGTTGCTTTTCTGCAGAAATAAAAGTTTCTGAATCAGCACTATTCTGCAATGAAAATGAACAACCTATGACTAATAAATAAATCTCAAAAGCATAATGTTGGGCCAAAGAAGCCAGATGTAAAAGAGGACGTACTATATGATTATATGAAATACAAAAATTGAGAACTTTTTAATGTAGTTGGAAGTCAGGATACTGGTAGGGATGCGGGGGGTAAGGGGTACATAGCAGGAGGGACAGTGATGGAAAGAGCAATGGGAGGTTTCTGTAGATGCTAGTGATGTTTTGTTGCTTGATTTGGGTGCTGATTGATGTAGTCAGTTTGTGAAAATTCATTGAGTTGTACATTTTATACTTTTCTGTATGTTTGTTGTAGTTTAAAAGATTTTTTAACTTATGAAAATAAAAACTATGAGTTCATACTGATACTTTGAGTTCAAATTTAATACCACGTTATTTTTAAGTTTAATTTTATTCTTGCATCTTTTGCTTTTCCCCTGAAATTCTTGTTGATTTTTAACAATGAAATAATATATGTGCTGTGATCTATAAATAAGCAGTATAAAATACTTACAACATAATACCAGCATTACCACCAAAAATGAATGCTGAATGAAGTTGAAGATTTCTTGGCATCACTCTCTGTCCTTCAAATATCATTCACTAAGAATGTGGAGGGAAATTACTTAGTTGTAATCAACCGGATTTGGAGCTAGATTGATTTATTTTCAGTGTTCAAGGGCTGCCATTTTTATTTGATTTAATTTTATTCTTAAAGACTATATAACGTTTTTGTGATTTTAAAATTAAAACCATAAAACAAAATGTGTTTTATGCATCAGTTTGTGTCCCATACAATCTGTTCCATCAGTTCCCTCTGAAAAGCCATTTTATTACTTTTTGGTCTAACTTTCCAAGAGTTCTTTTTGAGAAGCATATTAAATGTTCTAATGATTGTTGTATAACAAGCCACCCGAAACTTCATGCCATAAGACAACCATGTTATTATGCTGATAGATTCTGTGGGTCAACAATCCAGAGAGAACACAGCAGGGATGGTTTATCTCTACTAGATGATGTCTGGAGTCTCAGCTGGGATTATTTGAATGCCTAGTCCAGGTAGGGCTGGAATATCCACTTCCAAGCTTCTTTTCTCTCATGCCTGAATTTTGGACTTGGACAACTTAAATACGAATCTTAGCTGGAACTGTCAGCAGGAACACCTACATGGTCATGGGTTTTTCACAGAATGTTTGTGTATTCCAAGATGGACATCCCAGGAGTGAACATTCTAGGAGAACCAAGTGGAAGCTGGCTTTTTCTGACCTAGCTTTGGAAGTATGACAGCATCACTTCTGCATTTTAATGGTTACTAGTGAGACTTAAACCCAGCCCAAATTCAGAGGAAGGGGAATTTGAGTTCATCTCTTGATGGAAAAGTGGTAAGAACATACTGTGGAAGACCATGTGGGTGGGGAAATATCGTTGCATCCATCTTAAAAAATACAGTCTGCCACATTTTGCCTCCTAGCTACCGTTCGCATTCTGCCCCATGAAAATACATTCATGTGCTTCCCTCAGGCTTCCAAAATTTCATCCTATTGCAGCATCAATTTGAAGTCTAGGACCTTATCTAAATCAAATCTAGCTAAATAAATAAAATGTATGTGGAATACTACACAGCTACAAAAAAGAATAAAATATCCTTTGCAGCAACATGGAGCTGAAGGCCATTATTCTAAGCAAGTTAATACAGGAACAGAAAACCAAAACCAGCATGTTCTCACTTATAAGTGGGAGCTAAACATTGAGCATGCATGGACTCAAGGCAGGGAACAGTAGATACCAGGACTGCGTAAGAGTAGAGGATGGGAGGGTGAGAATCAAAAAACTACCTCTTGGGTACTAATTACCTGGGTGATTAAATAATCTACACCAAACCCCTGCAACACACAATTTACCCATGTAACACACTTGCACATGTACCCCCTGAACCTAAAAGTTGGAAAGAAAAACAAATTAAGAAGTCCGTGTGTGGATAAGCCTCCTTCAGTTCAGTTCCTGGAATATACTTAACTTTGAGTATGAGTCCTTTCAATCCACAATATTGTGAACTAACTTCAATCTATAGTTCTTTGACACACCCACATCCAATAATGGAACAGGTATAGAATAATAAGCATTCAGTTTCAAAAGTTTTATGGGTAAAACAGTTGAAGGAAATTGCTCATCCATAACAATTCTGAAATCTGGCCAGGCGCACATAACCAGCTCCTTGATTAGAGTTCCTTGGAAATGACTTTGTATGGCTCTTCCCCTGCCATCTGATCTTTTGGTTCTGCGTCACACTGCGTTTTTCTTTTCTTCATAAAAAGTAGCCCATGTTTACAACTGAGTACTACTCTCATACTTGTAGACATTTGGGAGTCCAAAGGTCCTTTTTCACTTTATAGTGTTTCTGCCCTGTACGCTCAAGCTTGTAGTAAATCAAGTAGTACAATTCTCTTGAAAACTCTGTGTATCCTGTGAATTTTATTACGGTTTATTAAATGAAACAAAAGATGTACCACAGACCCTTCTCTTTATTGTGCTCCCTAA